AAGATTGCAAGACATTAGAGGTTAACACCATCAAGAGAAGCCTTATATGGTAAGCACGCACGTTCTGTACTTTAGTAGACTAAATTAACTGATTAAGGTGAACAGTGTTAAAAGCAATGGTAGTGAGGTTACAGAGATCTTGTGGGCGAGAAGAAAATTGAGAAAGTTGATGATGGAGAATAAAGAAGGAATCTTCAGCTTGACACTAGAAAGAATGAGCAGTTGAAGTAAGAGGCGAGAATAACCAGGAAAGGAAGTGACCAAGGAGTTAAATTTGAGGAACTGAGAGAAGGATAGCAACAAAAGTGTAGATGGCAGCTTCTGCGAGTCCCAACATTCTGGAAAACAGTGAACTTGCTCCCTGATACACGTCATTTCTCACAGGTTTAGAGACCCTCGGCTCAAAAATGTAACTCTCTAGGAAAAACAACAACAGTAAAACAAGGAACAAACACAACACAAACAGTATCAAACAAAGATATAACAGTGGGAAGTGAATTGTTTGAAACAAAATTACTAACAAAGACAATCTTTGTACTTGTAACTTTTCCACTCTGTGTATTACACAGTTACTTAAGAAAGTATATACGAGACTGGAGAGAGAGACCTGTGTATTTCACAGTTACTTAAGAAAGTATATACGAGACTGGAGAGAGAGACCTGTGTATTTCACAGTTACTTAAGAAAGTATGTACGAGACTGGACAGAGAGACCTGTGTATTACACAATTACTTAAGAAAGTATATACGAGACTGGAGAGAGAGACCTGTGTATTTCACAGTTACTTAAGAAAGTATATACGAGACTGGAGAGAGAGACCTGTGTATTTCACAGTTACTTAAGAAAGTATACACGAGACTGGACAGAGAGACCTGTGTATTTCACAGTTACTTAAGAAAGTATATACGAGACTGGAGAGAGAGTCCTGTGTATTTCACAGTTACTTAAGAAAGTATATACGAGACTGGAGAGAGAGACCTGTGTATTACAGATTTACTTAAGAAAGTATATACGAGACCTGTGTATTACACAATTACTTAAGAAAGTATATACGAGACTGGAGAGAGAGACCTGTGTATTACACAGTTACTTAAGAAAGTATATACGAGACTGGAGAGAGAGACCTGTGTATTACAGATTTACTTAAGAAAGTATATACGAGACCTGTGTATTACACAATTACTTAAGAAAGTATATACGAGACTGGAGAGAGAGACCTGTGTATTACACAGTTACTTAAGAAAGTATATACGAGACTGGAGAGAGAGACCTGTGTATTACACAATTACTTAAGAAAGTATATACGAGACTAGAGAGAGAGACCTGTGTATTACACAATTACTTAAGAAAGTATATACGAGACTAGAGAGAGAGACCTGTGTATTACACAATTACTTAAGAAAGTATATACGAGACCAGAGAGAGAGACCTGTGTATTACACAGTTACTTAAGAAAGTATATACGAGACTGGAGAGAGAGACCTGTGTATTACACAGTTACTTAAAGTATATACGAGACTAGAGAGAGAGACCTGTGTATTACACAATTACTTAAGAAAGTATATACGAGACTAGAGAGAGAGACCTGTGTATTACACAATTACTTAAGAAAGTATATACGAGACCAGAGAGAGAGACCTGTGTATTACACAGTTACTTAAGAAAGTATATACGAGACTGGAGAGAGAGACCTGTGTATTTCACAGTTACTTAAGAAAGTATGTACGAGACTGGACAGAGAGACCTGTGTATTACACAATTACTTAAGAAAGTATATACGAGACTGGAGAGAGAGACCTGTGTATTTCACAGTTACTTAAGAAAGTATATACGAGACTAGAGAGAGAGACCTGTGTATTTCACAGTTACTTAAGAAAGTATATACGAGACTAAAAGAGAGAGACCTGTGTATTTCACAATTACTTAAAGTATATACGAGACTGAGAGAGAGAGACCTGTGTATTTCACAGTTACTTAAGAAAGTATATACGAGACTGGAGAGAGAGTCCTGTGTATTTACACAATTACTTAAGAAAGTATATCAGACCGAAAGAGAGACCTGTGTATTACACAATTACTTAAGAAAGTATATACGAGACTGAGAGAGAGAGACCTGTGTATATCACAGTTACTTAAGAAAGTATATACGAGACTGGAGAGAGAGACCTGTGTATTACACAAATTACTTAAGAAAGTATATACGAGACTGGAGAGAGAGAGACCTGTGTATTACACAATTACTTAAGAAAGTATATACGAGACTGGAGAGAGAGACAAGATGTTTACACAATTATTAAGAAGTAATATACGAAGATCTTCAGAGAGAGACCTTGTATTTCACATTACTTAAGAAAGTATATACGAGACCTGTGTATTACACATTACTTAAGAAAGTAATACGAGACCAGAGGAGAGACCTGTGTATTTACAGTTACTAAGAAAGATATAGAGCGGGCAGGACCTGTGTATTACAACATACTTAAGAAAGTATATACGAGACTGAGAGAGAGAGACCTGTGTATTTCAACATTACTAAGAAAGTATATACGAGACCACAGGAAGAGCCCTGTGTATCCACATTACTTAAGAAAGTATATACGAGACTGGAGAGAGAGACTGTGTATTACACATTACTTAAGAAAGTATATACGAGACTAGAGAGAGAGACCTGTGTATTACACAATTACTTAAGAAAGTATATACGAGACTAGAGAGAGAGACCTGTGTATTTCACAGTTACTTAAGAAAGTATATACGAGACTAGAGAGAGAGACCTGTGTATTACACAATTACTTAAGAAAGTATATACGAGACTAGAGAGAGAGACCTGTGTATTTCACAATTACTTAAGTATATACGAGACTAGAGAGAGAGACCTGTGTATTACACAATTACTTAAGAAAGTATATACGAGACTAGAGAGAGAGACCTGTGTATTTCACAGTTACTTAAGAAAGTATATACGAGACTAGAGAGAGAGACCTGTGTATTTCACAGTTACTTTAAGAAAGTATACTACGAGACTAGAGAGAGAGACCTGTGTATTTCACAGTTACTTAAGAAAGTATATACGAGACTAGAGAGAGAGACCTGTGTATTTCACAATTACTTAAGAAAGTATATACGAGACTAGAGAGAGAGACCTGTGTATTTCACAGTTACTTAAGAAAGTATATACGAGACTGGAGAGAGAGTCCTGTGTATTACACAATTACTTAAGAAAGTATATACGAGACTAGAGAGAGAGACCTGTGTATTTCACAATTACTTAAGTATATACGAGACTAGAGAGAGAGTCCTGTGTATTACACAATTACTTAAAGTATATACGAGACTAGAGAGAGAGACCTGTGTATTTCACAGTTACTTAAGAAAGTATATACGAGACTAGAGAGAGAGACCTGTGTATTTCACAGTTACTTAAGAAAGTATATACGAGACCTGTGTATTACACAATTACTTAAGAAAGTATATACGAGACTAGAGAGAGAGACCTGTGTATTTCACAGTTACTTAAGAAAGTATATACGAGACTAGAGAGAGAGACCTGTGTATTTCACAATTACTTAAGAAAGTATATACGAGACTAGAGAGAGAGACCTGTGTATTTCACAGTTACTTAAGAAAGTATATACGAGACTGGAGAGAGAGTCCTGTGTATTACACAATTACTTAAGAAAGTATATACGAGACTAGAGAGAGAGACCTGTGTATTACACAATTACTTAAGAAAGTATATACGAGACTAGAGAGAGAGACCTGTGTATTTCACAGTTACTTAAGAAAGTATATACGAGACTAGAGAGAGAGACCTGTGTATTTCACAGTTACTTAAGAAAGTATATACGAGACTAGAGAGAGAGACCTGTGTATTTCACAATTACTTAAGTATATACGAGACTAGAGAGAGAGAGAGACCTGTGTATTTCACAGTTACTTAAGAAAGTATATACGAGACTGGAGAGAGAGTCCTGTGTATTACACAATTACTTAAGAAAGTATATACGAGACCAGAGAGAGAGACCTGTGTATTACACAATTACTTAAGAAAGTATATACGAGACTGGAGAGAGAGACCTGTGTATTACACAGTTACTTAAGAAAGTATATACGAGACTGGAGAGAGAGACCTGTGTATTACACAGTTACTTAAGAAAGTATATACGAGACTGGAGAGAGAGACCTGTGTATTACACAGTTACTTAAGAAAGTATATACGAGACTGGAGAGAGACAGACAAGAATATTTAAATCAATTTAAGAAGAAATCCTGACCAAGATTCTTCCTGGAAAACTTCTATTTAATTGACGAAGATTAGAGCTCCTATAACCGTACCAGAGGTCGACCCTTGTACACACAGCCAGAGTGAAGAGGCGGGACCAGGAGCTGTGACTCGACCCATGCAGCCACAGTTGAGTACACACAGCCAGTGAAGAGGCGGGGCCAGGAGTTGTGACTCGATCCCTGCAACCATAACTAGGTGACTACACACACACACACAGAGCCAGTAACGGGGCGGGGCAAGGAGCTGTGACTCGACCCTTTCAACCACAACTAGGTGAGTACACACACACACACAGTGAAGGGGCGGGGCCAGGAGCTGTGACTCGACCCCTGCAACCATAACTAGGTGAGTACGCACACACACACAGCCAGTGAAGGGGCGGGGCCAGGAGCTGTGACTCGACCCCTGCAACCATACCTAGGTGACTACACACTCACACAGAGAGCCAGTAACGGGGCGGGGCAAGGAGCTGTGACTCGACCCTTGCAACCACAACTAGGTGAGTACACACACACACACACACACACACACAGTGAAGGGGCGGGGCCAGGAGCTGTGACTCGACCCCTGCAACCATAACTAGGTGAGTACACACACAGTGAAGGGGCGGGGCCAGGAGCTGTGACTCGACCCCTGCAACCATAACTAGGACACACAATGCCTGGTGAAGTCTCCAACCTTGGTATAACCACACTGTTTCTTGTCTGGTACACAGGTTGAACATGGTAGTGGCCCGCGCTCTGACGCCAGAGTACGACCTGCCAGGAGGGGATGCCAGACCTCCGTCAGTGCCACCTTCACCTCTGGCATCCTCAGAAGTGCCAAGTCCGCCCGTGCCTTCCCTCACGCCCACGCTCAAAGCCGCCTTCTCCGCCTCCTCCTTTCACTTCGTCAATGTTGTCCTCCACGCCGCTGTCACCGCCGCATACGTGGGCGTGCTACAGTGCGTGGGAGTGGGCGCGTGGGCGTGTCTAGGAGCCGGCTCATTATTCGCCGCCCATCCCGTGCACGTCGAGGCAGTTGCGGGCGTGGTGGGCCGGGCGGAGCTCCTGGCCGCCCTGGCCTTCTGCCTCGCCCTGGCAGCCTATATTAAATACCTCCGTGGGCGTGCAACTGGGCGTTTGTGGGCGCGGAGGATGAACGGTTGTGGTCACGGCTGCATATGCTGGGAGGACAACCGAGCAAGCAGCCTCAGCTGTTCCAGCATTTCCTGGAACAGCAAGTGGGCGCTCCAGCTGCCATCATGGGCGTGGTTGGCGCTGAGCGTGGCGGGCGCCGGCGTGGGCATGGCCTGCAAGGAACAGGGCGTCACAGCACTGGGCGTAGGGCTACTGCTGCACGCAGCTGCTGTGGTCACCATCACACCCAGGAACAAGGTCAGTAGCACCAGCAACAAGGTCAGTAACACCAGCAACAAGGTCAGTAGCACCAGCAACAAGGTCAGTAACACCAGCAACAAGGTCAGTAGCACCAGTAACAAGGTCAGTAGCACCAACAAGGTCAGTATCACCAGCAACAAGGTCAGTAGCACCAGCAACAAGGTCAGTAGTACCAACAAGGTCGGCAGCACCATCAAGGTCAGTAGCACCATCAAGGTCAGCACCAACAAGGTCAGTGGCACCAACAATGTCAGTAGAACCAACAAGGTCAGCAGCACCAGCTACAAGGTCAGTAGCACCACCAACAAGGTCAGTAGCACCACCAACAAGGTCAGTAGCACCACCAACAAGGTCAGTAGCACCACCAACAAGGTCAGTAGCACCACCAACAAGGTCAGTAGCACCACCAACAAGGTCAGTAGCACCACCAACAAGGTCAGTAGCACCACCAACAAGGTCAGTAGCACCACCAACAAGGTCAGTAGCACCAGCTTATTCTTACACAAGACAGCTTAAACGGGCGAAAAGTATGCTTAAAAAGTTTAATTTGAGCAACATTTCGCTCAAGGTAAAGCTTTATCAGCAGCTTTAGGCTGATTAAGCTTATCAGGATCGAAACGTGCAGCACACTAAAACATTTCGAGTAATGGAAGCTTTATCGTAAAGCTTTCCCTGGGCGAAACGTCCTGGTGACGAACACATTTCCTCCCTTCATGGGTGCCTTCATGCTGTAGGACTCTCTTGATCCAAGGAAGTGGAGCTACCCCGTCCCTTCCTCGGATCAATCTTAATTACCTCCCATTCCAGAGGTCCTGGATGACCCCTTCGTGTTTGGCGCTTCCCAGTAATTAAAATAAAAAATATAAAATAATTAGAATTATTAATAACGAAGAATAACTAATACAATAATTAATAATAATCACTAATACAATAATTAATAATAATCACTAATACTAATAATTAATAATAATCACTAATACTAATAATTAATAATAATCACTAATACTAATAATTAATAATAATCACTAATACTAATAATTAATAATCACTAATACTAATAATTAATAATAATCACTAATACTAATAATTAATAATCACTAATACTAATAATTAATAATAATCACTAATACTAATAATTAATAATCACTAATACTAATAATTAATAATAATCACTAATACTAATAATTAATAATCACTAATACTAATAATTAATAATAATCACTAATACTAATAATTAATAATCACTAATACTAATAATTAATAATAATCACTAATACTAATAATTAATAATCACTAATACTAATAATTAATAATAATCACTAATACTAATAATTAATAATCACTAATACTAATAATTAATAATAATCACTAATACTAATAATTAATAATAATCACTAATACTAATAATTAATAATAATCACTAATACTAATAATTAATAATAATCACTAATACTAATAATTAATAATAATCACTAATACTAAATAATTAATAATAATCACTAATACTAAAATTAATAATAATCACTAATACTAATAATTAATAATAATCACTAATACTAATAATTAATAATAATCACTAATACTAATAATTAATAAATAATCACTAATACTAATAATTAATAATAATCACTAATACTAATAATTAATAATAATCACTAATACTAATAATTAATAATAATCACTAATACTAATAATTAATAATAATCACTAATACTAATAATTAATAATAATCACTAATACTAATAATTAATAATAATCACTAATACTAATAATTAATAATAATCACTAATACTAATAATAATAATCACTAATACTAATAATTAATAATAATCACTAATACTAATAATTAATAATAATCACTAATACTAATAATTAATAATAATCACTAATACTAATAATTAATAATAATCACTAATACTAATAATTAATAATGATCACTAATACTAATAATTAATAATAATCACTAATACTAATAATTAATAATAATCACTAATACTAATAATTAATAATAATAAACTAATACTAATAATTAATAATAATCACTAATACTAATAATTATTAATAATCACTAATACTAATAATTAATAATAATCACTAATACTAATAATTAATAATAATCACTAATACTAATAATTAATAATAATCACTAATACTAATAATTAATAATAATCACTAATACTAATAATTAATAATAATCACTAATACTAATAACTAATAATTGTTAATAATAATCAATAATTAATAATCAATAATCAATAATAATCATTAATAATAATCCTAATAGTAATAATAATCCTAATAGTAATAATAATCCTAATAGTAATAATAATCCTAATAGTAATAATAATCCTAATAGTAATAATAATCCTAATAATAATAATCCTAATAGTAATAATAATCCTAATAGTAATAATAATCCTAAATTAAACATAATTAAAATAATAATTAAAATAATTCATATTTTTTACAGTGTGTGTTGCAGCCGCTGGTCCGGGAGCTGTTACCCGGCAGTGTGGGCACGCTAGTGTTGCTGTGGGCAAGGCTGAGTGTGGCCCCCAACATGCCCACATTCACGCCCGCGGACAACCCCGCCGCCCACGCCTCATCTGTACTCACCCGCGCCCTGAGCATCGCCCGGGCGTGGGCGGTCCACGCCCGCTTGTTACTCTGGCCCGCCACTCTCTCCTTCGACTGGTCCATGGGTTCAGTGCCACTGGTCACATCCCTCAGTGACCCAGCCAACCTGGAGACCGTGGCACTGCTGGTCTGCGTGCTGGCACTAGCCGTCACTGCCAGCACTGCCTGTTGGAGGGCACGTCAACACCTCACCAAGATATACACATATCATACCCAACATTCATACCATGATGCCCTCAACAACAACATCCAACAAGGAGACATCACCTACATACCCTATTACCTACGACACCCACTCAAGCCTCACCCAAACCCACTCCTGCTAGTGCTAGCGTGGGCACTGCTAGTGCTACCCTTCCTACCAGCTTCCAATTTGGCAACGTACGTGGGGTTCGTGGTGGCAGAACGAGTACTTTATCTGCCATCCATGGGCGCCTGCCTTCTGGTAGCCCTGGGCTACCAGAACCTCTGGCGGGCTATAACGTCTTATAAATGGCATCGAACAGGTGAGTTCAGCTATAACACTGTTCTGGAACAATAAAAGGCACAATACCCTGACTGGAACAATACACAACCCGCACAATGAACGAAACCTCGTGCTTGTCTGTTATTTGTGTGGTTTATTTGCGTATTGTTCTGGGATAAGTTACAATGGTACAATATTTTCCTCAGAGCAACCCAGTGGAAATAAGCCACACTGACTTTATTGGGTGAGCCTGGGTTACTAACTCTCCTGGTGTGGATGGTAGTAGCTAGTTTATTGTGTACCTCATATCCATCCTGTGGATGGTAGTGGCTAGTTTGTGTACCACATATCCATCCTGTGGATGGTAGTGGCTAGTTTATTGTGTACCTCATATCCATCCTGTGGATGGTAGTGGCTAGTTTATTGTGTACCTCATATCCATCCTGTGGATGGTAGTGGCTAGTTTATTGTGTACCTCATATCCATCCTGTGGATGGTAGTGGCTAGTTTGTGTACCTCATATCCATCCTGTAGATGGTAGTGGCTAGTTTATTGTGTACCTCATATCCATCCTGTGGATGGTAGTGGCTAGTTTATTGTGTACCTCATATCCATCCTGTGGATAGTAGTGGCTAGTTTGTGTACCTCATATCCATCCTGTGGATAGTAGTGGCTAGTTTGTGTACCTCATATCCATCCTGTGGATAGTAGTGGCTAGTTTGTGTACCACATATCCATCCTGTGGATGGTAGTGGCTAGTTTATTGTGTACCTCATATCCATCCTGTGGATGGTAGTGGCTAGTTTATTGTGTACCTCATATCCATCCTGTGGATGGTAGTGGCTAGTTTGTGTACCTCATATCCATCCTGTAGATGGTAGTGGCTAGTTTATTGTGTACCTCATATCCATCCTGTGGATAGTAGTGGCTAGTTTGTGTACCTCATATCCATCCTGTGGATAGTAGTGGCTAGTTTGTGTACCTCATATCCATCCTGTGGATGGTAGTGGCTAGTTTATTGTGTACCTCATATCCATCCTGTGGATAGTAGTGGCTAGTTTGTGTACCTCATATCCATCCTGTGGATGGTAGTGGCTAGTTTGTGTACCTCATATCCATCCTGTGGATGGTAGTGGCTAGTTTATTGCGTACCTCATATCCATCATGTGGATGGTAATGGCTAGTTTGTGTACCTCATATCCATCCTGTGGATAGTAGTGGCTAGTTTGTGTACCTCATATCCATCCTGTGGATGGCAGTGGCTAGTTTGTGTACCTCATATCCATCCTGTGGATGGTAGTGGCTAGTTTATTGTGTACCTCATATCCATCCTGTGGATGGTAGTGGCTAGTTTGTGTACCTCATATCCATCCTGTGGATGGTAGTGGCTAGTTTATTGTGTACCTCATATCCATCCTGTGGATGGTAGTGGCTAGTTTATTGTGTACCTAATATCCATCCTGTGGATGGTAGTGGCTAGTTTATTGTGTACCTCGTATCCATCCTGTGGATGGTAGTGGTTAGTTTATTGTGTACCTCATATCCATCCTGTGGATAGTAGTGGCTAGTTTATTGTGAACCTCATATCCATCTTGTGGATAGTAGTGGCTAGTTTATTGTGTACCTCATATCCATCCTGTGGATGGTAGTGGCTAGTTTGTGTACCTCATATCCATCCTGTGGATAGTAGTGGCTAGTTTGTGTACCTCATATCCATCCTGTGGATGGTAGTGGCTAGTTTATGCACCTCATATCCATCCTGTGGATGGTAGTGGCTAGTTTGTGCACCTCATATCCATCCTGTGGATGTTAGTGGCTAGTTTATTGTGTACCTCATATCCATCCTGTGGATGGTAGCCGCTAGTTTGTGTACCTCATATCCATCCTGTGGATGTTAGTGGCTAGTTTATTGTGTACCTCATATCCATCATGTGGATGGTAGTGGCTAGTTTATTGTGTACCTCATATCCATCCTGTGGATGGTAGCCGCTAGCTTGTGTACCTCATATCCATCCTGTGGATGTTAGTGGCTAGTTTATTGTGTACCTCATATCCATCCTGTGGATAGTAGTGGCTAGTTTATTGTGTACCTCATATCCATCCTGTGGATGGTAGTGGCTAGTTTATTGTGTACCTCATATCCATCCTGTGGATGGTAGTGGTTAGTTTATTGTGTACCTCATATCCATCCTGTGGATGGTAGTGGCTAGTTTATTGTGTACCTCATATCCATCCTGTGGATGGTAGTGGCTAGTTTGTGTACCTCATATCCATCCTGTGGATGGTAGTGGTTAGTTTATTGTGTACCTCATATCCATCCTGTGGATGGTAGTGGCTAGTTTGTGTACCTCATATCCATCCTGTGGATGGTAGTGGCTAGTTTGTGTACCTCATATCCATCCTGTGGATAGTAGTGGCTAGTTTATTGTGAACCTCATATCCATCCTGTGGATAGTAGTGGCTAGTTTATTGTGTACCTCATATCCATCCTGTGGATGGAAGTGGCTAGTTTATTGTGTACCTCATATCCATCCTGTGGATGGTAGTGGCTAGTTTGTGTACCTCATATCCATCCTGTGGATAGTAGTGGCTAGTTTATTGTGAACCTCATATCCATCCTGTGGATAGTAGTGGCTAGTTTATTGTGTACCTCATATCCATCCTGTGGATGGAAGTGGCTAGTTTATTGTGTACCTCATATTCATCCTGTGGATAGTAGTGGCTAGTTTATTGCGTACCTCATATCCATCCTGTGGATGGTAGTGGCTAGTTTGTGCACCTCATATCCATCCTGTGAATGGTAGTGGCTAGTTTATTGCGTACCTCATATCCATCCTGTGGATGGTAGTGGCTAGTTTATTGTGTACCTCATATCCATCCTGTGCCACAGCTAATAATGGCGTAGTTTTAAGATAATCCTGTCTTCCACCGTTCTGTTTTGGACTGAGAATCCACTGGCTGGCCAAACATCTCCACAATATACCCAAATATTGCCTAAGTGTCTCATTTAGCATCTTGTCAGATTTCTAGACTAATCACACCTAGTATTAATACTGCCCTTCTGCACCACCCACAGGAGACTCGCGCAGTCGAACCAGATGGTGGCGAGGCGGTGGGTGGCGGGTGGCAGCGACAGGGGCGTGGGTGGCTCTCCTGCTCCTGCTGGGTGCCAGGACACTCAGGAGAAACCAAGATTGGCACAGCGACGAGGCACTCTACCGATCAGGAGCGGCTGTCAACCCACCCAAGGGTAAGTGTACAAAGCAACTTCGTCCTCACACCGTACAACTCTTGCGTACATGTACACACACACACAAGGAGCAGGGAGAGAATTACCAAGTAGCGACCAGTGAAGAGGTGGGGGCAGAGCTATGACTCGACCCCTGCAACTACAATTAGGTGAGCGCATATATATATATATATATATATATATATATATATATATATATATATATATATATATATATATATATATATATATATATATAATATATATATCACTTGTTTGGTGATTCCATTGTTACAGAGACTGTTGAGGTGGGTATTCAAACAGGAGGAGGCTGAAACTAATCCTCGAGATACCACTGCCACGAGTGTCCTCAGATCAGCAGAAACCATCTAGCTCTGCTGGGTGAGTGAACTTTGAAGGATCGCTGGTTCAGTGGGGCAAAACGTTCATAACAGAGGGCAAAACGTTCATAACAGAGGGCAAAACGTTCCTAACAGAGGGCAAAACGTTCATAACAGAGGGCAAAACGTTCTTAACAGAGGGCAAAACGTGCATGACAGGGCAAAACGTGCATGACAGGGCAAAACGTGCATGACAGATCAAACAGGTGCCTCACTCCTGAGCGAGTGGGTCAAGTCACCACACACTATAACCCTACTCACTCCTACCTGGAGGGTATTCCGCGGGGTAACGCCCCCCTTCCCCGGCCCGGTCTACGACCAGGCCTCCCAGTGGATCAGGACCTGATCAACCAGGTTGTTACTGCTGGCCGCACGTAGTCCAACGTACGAGCCACAGCCCGGTTGATCCGGTACTTACTTTAGGTATCTGTCCAGCTCCCTCTTGAAGACAACCAGGGGTCTACTGGTAATCCCCCTTATGGCCGGTGGGATGCTGTTGAACAGTCTTGGACCCCTGACACTTATGGTGTTTTAGTATACCATTGGCACCCCTACTTTTCACTGGGGGTATGTTGCACACCCTGCCCAGTCTTTTATTTTTGTAGGGAGTGATTTCTGTGTGCAGATTTGGGATCATTCCTTCTAGGATTTTCCAAGTGTAGATTATGCTGCATCTCTCTCGCCTGCGTTCCAGGGAGTACAAGTGCTTCCAACCCGTTCACTGTTGCTACTCCCAGCCTGTGTAGCCCCACTCTTGTTGATCATCTGTTCAGACTGTTGCTACTCCCTGCTTGCTTGTTTATATTAATTAGCTTCTAGTTATAAACACATATCAACTTAACTCAGTTATTAAATTAATAATCTCGTCAAATCAGAACTTAATATCATTTCGTGGTAAATGCTGGAGCGTTTTAAAGTACGTCACCGATGTCAGCCGTGGTTCTGAAACGTCACTGATGTCTGCCGTGGTTCTGAAACGTCACTGATGTCTGCCGTGGTTCTGAAACGTCACTGATGTCTGCCGTGGTTCTGAAACGTCACTGATGTCAGCCGTGGTTCTGAAACGTCACTGATGTCTGCCGTGGTTCTGAAACTACGTCACTGATGTCAGCTGTGGTTCTGAAACTACGTCACTGATGTCAGCTGTGGTTCTGAAACTACGTCACTGACGTCACCTTTGGCTCTGAAAGTACGTCACTGATGTCAGCTGTGGTTCTGAAACCACATCACTGATGTCAGTAGTGGTTCTGAACCTACGTCACTGGGTTAATAACCCAGGATGACATAGGATAACCCAGTGTGTGGCTTATCTTCACTATCTTCCCAAAGTCCTGCCTTAGGATACCACCCACAACACTCCATCAGTGAATATACACTAGAACGGGTGTATATACGTTAATATACACTAGAACGGGTGTATATCAGTGAATATACTACTCTAGAATGGATGTATATCTCTGAATATACGTTAGAACGGGTGTATATCAGTGAATATACACTAGAACGGGTGTATATACGTTAATATACACTAGAACGGGTGTATATCAGTGAATATACTACTCTAGAATGGATGTATATCTCTGAATATACGTTAGAACGGGTGTATATCAGTGAATATACTACACTAGAACGGGTGTATATCTCTGAATATACATTAGAACGGGTGTATATCTCTGAATATACATTAGAACGGGTGTATATCTCTGAATATACATTAGAACGGGTGTATATCCATTAATATACACTAGAAGGTGTGTACATCTCAGTGTGTTTAAATTTACATCCTATTTTAACCTCTCTGTCCGGGGCTGTTGGTGTACAGGCGGTATTTAGCCTTTAATGACCCTCGAGCGGAGGGTCATTAAGGCCACTAAATTAACCAACCAACTGCCCCTGGATAATCAGATATCCAACTAACACATCCCGAGCTAATGCAATCACAATTACTGCCGATCGGTTTAGGATAATAAAAGACACCGGCCATCAGACTAATGAGAAAACCCTGTTAATCTGTGTTGGAACAGGCGATCTCTAGAGCGCCTGCCCATCAGAGGCCCGCTCGCCCACTTTTCAGGGAGATCAGGGAAGCTGCCAATCGATTTTCAGGGCATTAGAGTACCTCCCTGAATATTAGTTAGGGGAATATAAATGAAGGATCGAATTATTATTATTATAATCATGGGGGAGCGCTAAGCCTGTAGGGATTATACAGCGCCTGATGAAGGATCGAAGCCCTTGAAGATGACTTTCGTATAGTAGCGGTGGTGGTTGTAGTAATGGCAGTAGTAGTACTAGTGGTAGTAGTGGTAGCAGTGGTAGCAGTAGTAGTAGTAATGGTAGTGGTGGTAGTAGTGGTAGTAGTAGTAGTGGTAGCAGTAGTAGTGGTGGTGGTGGTAGTAGTAGTAGTGGTAGCAATAGTAGTAGTGGTAGCAATAGTAGTAGTGGTAGCAATAGTAGTAGAGGTAGCAGTAGTAGAGGTAGTAGTAGTAGTGGTAGCAGTAGTGATAGTAGTGGTAGTAGTAGTAGTGGTGGTAGTGGTGGTAGCAGTAGTAGTGGTGGTGGTAGTAGTAGTGGTAATAGTAGTAGTAGTAGTAGTGGTGATGGTAGTGGTAGTAATGGTGGTAATAGTAGTGATAGCAGTAGTAGCAGTAGTAGTAATGATAGTAGCAGTAATAATAGTAGTAATAGTATAGGAGTACTAGTAATAGTATAGTAGTAGTAGTAATAGTAGTAGTAGTAACAGTAGTAGCAGCAGTAGTAGTAGTAGTAGTAGTAGTAGTAGTAGTAGTGGTAGAACAACTACACTGAGATGGGTTGGATTTAAGAAGTGTGTGTCAACATGTGTGTACCGTACCAGAGACGGCATTATGCCTCTATATTGTTCACTCCTGCGACTCTATATCAGGATAATTTACTCTCTGACACGCAGGAGGAGAGGCAGGAATACAGCCGGATATACTGGATGCTTGTTGCAATATTCCTAACTTCAATGAGTGCACTGCCACATTGGAGTCGGGATTTAAACCATGGCTTGGCAGGCAAGAGGTGTGTGTCATCACATATTTGTGGTAGCAAGGGTCGTGTCACAGCTCCTGGCCCCGCTTTCTGCTTCGTGTTTGCCCCGGGGAGATTCAACAATGTAGTTATTAAGGAAACGGTATGGTGATACCGACAAGATGTGGAAAAAGACACTTATGTACAGTTCAGGACATTTATTAAAGGAAACGTTTCGCCACGAGTGGCTTCTTCAGTCCTAATACAGAGAAAACTAAGAAAACATTTATATATATAGTGGCAGGAGTCAGGTGAGGTGACGCGTGGGTAGAGGTGCTGGTAGTAGTGGTAGTAGTAGTGGTAGTAGTAGTAGTAGTGGTAGTAGTAGTAGTAGTAGTAGTAGTAGTAGTAGTAGTGGTAGTAGTAGTAGTGGTAGTAGTAGTAGTAGTAGTAGTAGTAGTAGTAGTAATGGAACTAAGGAGGTGAGGCAAGAGAGGGACCTGCTGGCATCAAGTAACACCAGTTCCCAGGATGGGTAATATCCTCTTGCTTAGTAATTTTCAAATACTGTAACTACCGGATTTTTGCTTTATAGTGTTACTGACAGAAATTAGTGCAGCTTCAATGCATTTTCTCCGTCTTAAGTCGTCTTCTTTAATCACTAGTTTAGTTTCATTGAATTTCATGAGGTGTCCAACATCGTCTCTATGTTGAACACATGCGTTTCTGCGGTCATCATTTCTGCAAGCATTTTTGTGTTCTGCTATTCTAATGTCCAGAGTTCTGGCTGTTTCCCCTACATATACTTTGTCACACCCCCCACATGGTATAGTGTAGATTCCTGCACTTGTGCCAGAATCATGCTTGGGTTTTTGTATCAGGTTCCTAATAGTAGTTGAAGAGCTGGTAGATATTTTAGCCAGTTTTCTGTCAAACATGTTTGAAACATTAGTGGCAACGTTGCTGACCGGTAAAACGATGTAACTTGGAGGATTTTCTTCAATTTGATAGGTGTTGGTCTTGCTGAGGATACGTGCTGCACGTTTCCTGCAGTCACGTATGAAATGTAGGGAAAGTGTAGTGAACTAAAAGAGTTGGTGATGTATGTACATTCTTCTTCGAGGAACTGCGGACTGGAAATTCTGTAGGCTCTCAGAAAGAAGCCAATAACTACCCCTCTTTTAGTTCTGGTGTCATGGTGAGAGAAGAAATGTAGATCGTTCTTGTAGGTAGGCTTCCGGTAGACTTTAAAAGAAAGTCTGTTTTCCCCTGTGCGTAAGAGAACGTCGAGAAAAGGTAACTGGTTGTCCTTTTCCTCCTCTAGTGTAAATTTAATAGTAGGTTCCAGAGTGGTGATGGTGTTGAGGATGCCAGGTACGTCTAGATTTTTGGGTACAATGACCAAAATATCATCAACGTACCGCATCCATGTAACTGAACGAGGGATGTTACTGAGGATCCTTCTTGATTCCAGGTCCTCCATATATAAATTGGCAAGAACTGCACTAAGGGGGGATCCCATGGCTAGTCCGAAGAGTTGTTTGTACTTCTTGTCTTCGAACCTAAAACAGTTATAACGGACACAAAGTTCGACAAGGCTCACAAAATCTTGGCGGGGTACAGGTA